ATATGGTATTAATGATCTCATTGATGCACGAATCGCAAATTGGAGCAAAGATTTTGATATTCTACTTGGAAATTATGATTTAGAACGTTTTAACTCCATACTAAATTATCAAACTAAAACATTAACCTTAACAAATTACAGAATTACAATTCATTTCGAGACATTATATTACAAAATTCCAGTTAACGTTCTAGACGGTGAAATTCTAGTACCCCGTGTAGACTTACAAAATTTTACATTACCAGAATCCATACACACAGCAAAAAACGGTTTCATTAATAACTTGACACTCCCTTATCCGATAAAATTATTAGAACCTGTCCAAGTTGTATAGAGAATATTGTAGAATATTTATATATATTGTAGATGTATTGTAGAATACAGAGATGTATTTTACGATGAGAAAAAGAGTTTATCTTTCACGTCAGCAGTGAAACATGAAATAAAAACAAAGGATGAAAATCCTATTTATGTTAAGGGATATAGGCATCCTAAGGCGATGCAGGAAGAAATTAGTCGACAAGTACAAAAATTATTAGATGATAAAATTATTAGACCATCAATTTCTCCCTATTCGGCCCCAGTGTGGGTTGTACCGAAAAAGTCTGATGCATCAGGCAAGAAAAAATTTAGAATGATTATAGATTATAGAAAGTTAAACGAAAATACTATAGATGACAGATATCCTTTACCGAAAATAGACGAAATTTTAGATAATTTAGGTAAGGCTACATATTTTACAACACTAGACTTGGCTCAAGGCTATCACCAAATCGAAATTCATCCTAATTCTGTCCAAAAAACGGCATTTTCAGTGCCACATGGTCATTTTGAATTCTTACGTATGCGGTTCGGTTTAAAGAACAGCCCAGCAACCTTTGAAAGGCTAATGGACAATATTCTCCGTCCTTTCGTTCACAAATTTGTATTCGTCTATATGGACGATGTTATCATTTTCTTTAAATCTCTACACGAACATCTCGTTCACATTACCACTATATTCGATACCTTTAGAAAACATAATTTAAAAGTTCAATTAGATAAGTCTGAGTTCCTTACAAAAGAAGTGGCTTTCCTAGGACATGTAGTAACCACTGAAGGTATAAAACCCAATCCCTGCAAAATTGAAGCAATTCAAAAATACCCATTACCAAAAACTGTCAAGGAAATAAAGTCCTTTCTAGGATTAATCGGATTCTATAGGCGATTTATTCCAAATTTCGCGAAGATTACGTCTCCATTTTCTAGATGCACTCGTAAAGGTGCTGTAATAGATCCTAAAAATCCAAATTATTTGGAGTGTTTCGAAAAATGTAAACAACTCTTAACTAATGCTCCTGTTTTTCAATATCCTGATTTCGAAAAACCATTCGTACTTACTACCGATGCTTCTAATATAGCAATAGGATCAGTCCTATCTCAGAATAACCATCCCATTGCCTTTTATTCGAGGACCCTAAATTCTGCCGAACAAAATTACTCTACAATAGAAAAAGAATTATTGGCAATCTTAGATTCATGTAAACATTTTCGGATGTACTTATACAGTCAGAAATTTATAGTAGAAACTGATCACAACCCTCTTGTTTGGATCTACAAAGTTAAAGACCCTACTTCGAGATTAACTCGCTGGCGACTTAAGTTAGAGGATTACAATTTTGAAGTTAGATATAAAAAAGGAAAAGAAAACCAAGTAGCCGATGCCCTCAGCAGAATTCAAATAAATGCTCTAAGCTCCAGTTCAGAATGCGCTGAACCTCCAGATGCAATTGATGCTTTTAACGCAGAAAATTTTCTTGAGGAATTTGAAAATTTGCAAAATAATACCAACACACAACACACCGCTGTCGAACACCCTATCACAGGAATTGAAATATCACCCGAACCAATTAATCTATCGTCAAACCAAATTATATTTCAAACTAAATGTGCTAAAATTTGAGTTACAATACAAAAAGATTTTTAATAAACATCGATACACTGTAACGCTCACCGACAACTGGCAAGCAGAAATAGCAGATGCATTGCAAAGTATCTTAAGACCGAATAAAAAATTTGCCATTGCAATACCTCATGAATTTAGACCCTTCATTTGCAATTATTTTAAGGAGAAAATAAAATCAACGGTAAAGACAATATTCTGCAATAAATTGCTAAAAGATATAGAAGAAGAAGAACGACAAGTTGAATGTGTAGAAAAATATCACAGAGAAAATCATAATGGAATAGTGGAAACATATAAACATCTAAAACAAACTTTCTATTGGCCTTCTATGCAAACCACGATCTCGAATTTTATAAATAAATGTGAAATATGCTTAAAAAACAAATATGAAAGGCACCCTTACAAACTCCCACAGTTAGGGCCATTACTTGGACAAAAACCATTTGACATCTTACACATTGACATTTTTCATTGTAACAAAACATTATATTTAACAATAATAGATTCATTTTCTAAATATGGACAGTGTTATAAATTAAACGAAAAAACATCTATTTCAATACTGAATAAACTTAGGCATTACTTTACACACCATAACTATCCAAAAAAGGTTGTATGCGATAGTGGCACAGAATTTTACTCAGCAGTCATAAAAGAATTTTTAAAACTCCACAAAATCGAAATTCATTTTACAACAGTTAATAACTCGTCTTCAAACTCCCTCGTAGAGCGATTCCATTCTACACTTACCGAAAAACTCAGGACTTTACGTGCCCAAAATCCTAATGATTCATTAGACGACATTTTGACACATGCCATTCTTATCTATAATCAATCGATTCACAGCTCTACAAATTTCTCACCCTTTTTAATCCTATATGGACCTTATGCCGAAGAAATCCATTTTGACTTTGACCTTCCCGTATACGAAACGTACAATCAAAGACATAAAGAGGAACTACAACCTTTTATCTATTATTTATACAATAAACAAAAAGAAAAAAGGCAGCAAATATTAGATAGACAGAACGAAAAGGCTGAAGAAATTCCCGAGATAGATCTCACAAAAACTTTGTATGTTTCAAAAAAGTAACATAAACCAAAACTACAAGCACCCTATTCTATAATACATCCAGATAAACAAGAAAAAACAAAGATTTTAGGTAAAATAGATAAACAAAACCCAACAAGTACACATCTTAAGTTTGTTAAAAGAACAAGAAAATGTACAGACAAAAATACTCAAGCTCAAACTTATTCACAGGAAAATCCTCGCCCTGGGCCGTCAACTCAGGATTCAGGAGATTCAGAATAATGGCTACTATGCTGAGGAGATAGGAAAATCAAAAGAAATCTCCCATTACCATAGACACTTCTTTCATATTTCCCTAGACAATTTATCGAATATAATAGAAACTAGCCCAATAAACCAATTCCAATCTCATTTTAAGAAAACACCTCTCTCACTTCTTTATTCTCAATAGAATCATATACGCGAACAAGTAAAAGATGATTTGCATAAGATCACTTGCAAACACAAAAGAGGACTCTTTAACTTTCTCGGAAATGCCATCAAATATATAACAGGTAACCCAGATGACTCTGACCTTGATCTATTAAAAACACATATTATTGCAATAGAAAATAAACAAAATGAAATAATCAAAAAATTTAACAATCAAATATCATATGGACAATCAATTAATACAAGATTCGATAAACTCTTGGAAAAGATAAATAATGATAATGCTGCTCTTGTAGCTGCAGTTAGTAAGTTTTCTGCAGATTTTGATAGTTATTTGATTTTGCATAATGAAATAGTAAACATTCAAAATATTAACGAATTTTTAATGAAACTAATTAGGACCATAACTTTATCTCAATTAAATATTCCAAATATCGAATTATTCACGTTAAAAGAATTAAACAATTTAAAAGAAAATCTTCTTAAAATGCATCCTAGAAATTCGCTTCTTGTCAGTGATGAACATCCGTATGGACTAATCCAAGCATCCAAAATGCTAGTCTGTGCAAAATGCTCATATTAATTAAAATACCTATTCTCCACGAAACTTCCTATACCACCTTTAAGATTTATCCGATCCCAAATAAAGATCACATCATGATTTTACCACCTACACCCTACTATGTTAACAACAAATGGTTCGAAAACTGCATTGGAGAAAGTGACCACATAATTTGTACAAAAAATGTACAATCCCATTGTACAATACCAAATGTCCATAATTGCACCAAGACCATAGCGACAGAGAACTTTTTCCAAGAAACCAGCAAAGTGATATTACTTGGAATAATCCATACAATAATAATTCAACAACACGAAGTAAAATCAACCAGTATACTAACAACAGAAGAACTAATCGTCATTGAGGGAGTCTACTTTAACAAGAAAACATCCGAAGATATTTCAGTACCAAAAATAGTTCCCATAAAATTACTTCCGGAACACCAGATAAAAATTGAGAAGTTAACGATTCCAAATACTCATGGCCAAATTCAACCCCTCAAAACGACGGACGTTTTACCATTACTTTCCATGAGACTGAGCACCACTTCAATTGTTATACTTTTCTCTGTTTTAGCATTTTTAGCAATATTTATAATTAAAAAACTAGAAAAAAATTAAAGAATTTCCCAAATTCTATTTGGCACGAAACTTCATCCTGCCCAAATTCAAATTCTGGATGAATTAATTGCAGAAGTTACTAGGACTTCGAGGACGAAGTCCGAACCAAAGGAGGGAGGAGAAATGTCATAGAAGCCCCCCGACTATCAAGAGTCAGCAAGTTCCTAAGACCAGAGGCTATAAAGAAGGAAGGAAGAAGCCCACGAAGATTATTGTTAGTTCTTATTTAGTTGTATTAATTATCTCTGTAAATTGTAACCTAATTTTGAAAATAAAATATTTTTTTTTGAGAAGTTCGTGCTTGTGACATATTTATATATATATATATATATATATATATATATATATATATATTATATATATATATATGTTTTATTAAGCGTTTTATCAATTACATTAGATACTAACTTGCATCTTCGTTTTTCAGTAATTATTTCATCATGATTTTTGTTGTCAGTGTGGACAGGAATCGGTTGCCAAGATAACTGAGGATTCCAAAATTGAAAACCTGTTGGTGGGTAAAGACCTGCCAGAGCTGCACTTGCCGACATCAAACACCGGTCTATATTGGAAGAATGAATATAAATCTCATCTGGAGAGTATGTTTCACTGAGAAAATTCTTGTACCGTTCACGAAACCATTTGCCAAGATTGTAAAGTCTTGTAACACCGTACTATATAAAAATACAAAATAATTATGTTATTTTGGGCTTATAAAATATTTTATTACTATACAGTTAAAAGCTAAATTATACTGATTATACTCTGCTTTCAATCTTAGTTGAAAATTTATTAAACTATATTTAGAAATGCAGAATGCCTGCAGTGTTTGTAGCAGAAGAGTACAACGATCTTTATACAGGACTTTTCAAAGCTAAAAAATATCGATACGTTTTTGTCTTAGTTTTGTATCAAAATTTATAAGAATAACATGACTACCTCGAAAAACTTATGAGTTTTTCGAGGTAGTCATGTTATTCTTATACGAAAATACAATACGAGTATATTAAAAATCAGAAAAACAACAACTTAAAATGAGTGATATATGATGTCAACGGATTACCAAAACAAACGTAGAAATTCATAAGGCAAAAAGAATAGAACAAGAAACTTCTAAAAAATGAATACACAGCATATCTTAACAGGTAACACAAAAACTATACAGGTAACAAAAATAAGAAAAAATAACAGAACACCTACTGAAACATAAAAATTATCATCAAACAAATCAGAAAATCAATTAACAAAAGCTCCGATAAAACTAAAAAAAAATTAAGACTGCGGAGAAAGACGTAATAAATCAAGCTTATAAAATACAGCAGCCCACAATGTTTATTTAGATTTTAAACCTTATTAAGAATACCACGGGAATGGGGAATAAGGATTTCGAAATTCATTTAAAACAAATTATGTAACAATAAATAAGTTGATAAAAATAATTAACATAATAAATGAACAACACGATAGATTGTGTAAGATTTAAAGAAAATAGCTGAGAATTTACAAAATATAACAAACCAGCCAATCTATGTTTCGTAGACTTAGAAAAAGTATTTAACCGTATATCAGATATAATTAATTTGTTGTGAAACATACATATACAATAAGATATAAAATGATGGATAACATTTATTTAAGAAGCCAAACTGAAGTAAAAGGAATGACAGAAACAACAGAATCCTTTGAAATAACAACTAATGGGAGTAGACAGAATGATGCCGAATGCGAAATAAAATAAAGGTATTGGGATATAGTTCTAATGGTGGATAATGATCATCATCATCATCATTCAGCCCATACTCGTCCACTGCTGAACATAGGCCTCCCGTAGTTCACCCCACAAATTTCTGTCCTGAGCCGCCTGCATCCAATTTTGATGTGTCCGTTTCAGGTCATCCGTCCATCTTGTTGGTGGTCGTCCTCTATTTCTAAAGGCATCTTGTCTGGGTCTCCACTCAAGAATGCGTTTTGTCCATCTGCCGTCCTTCGTTCTCGCGACGTGCCCTGCCCAGTTCCATTTTAAGGTTGATATTCTTTTGATTGCGTCGGTTACTCCCGATCTACGGCGCAATTCTGTGTTGGGTATTCGGTCTCTCAGGGTTAATCCCAACATGGACCGTTCCATTGCCCTCTGTGTTGTTCGAATTTTATTTGCGGACGTCTTAGTAAGTGTTAGCGTCTCCGCACCATAGGTTAGAACTGGCAGCACACATTGATCGAAGACTTTTCTCTTCAAGCAGATGGGAAGGGCTGATTGGAAAACATCTCTTAGCTTTCCATAAGCTGCCCATGTCAACCCTATTCTACGTATTAGTTCATTGGTCTGGTTATCTCTACTTAAGCGAATTTCGTGTCCCAGATATTTGTATGCTGATGTTTGTTCTATACTTGTTCCAGCTATGTTGATGTTCTCACTCAGAACAAGGTTTGTCATCACTTGTGTTTTTGAGTTATTGATCTTTAAACCCACTTGTGTAGAGGCATGGTAGAGTCTTTCGCACATTTCGATGGCATGATCTATGCGGTCTGTTATCAGGACTATATCGTCCGCGAACCTGAGGTGACTAAGCTGCTCTCCATTTATGTTTATGCCCTTTTCGTCTAGGTTTGCACGCTTACACATGTATTCCAATAATGTTGTAAACAGTTTTGGCGAAATGGTGTCGCCCTGGCGAACTCCGCGATGAATTTTGAACTTGTGTGTATCTTCATGGAGTCTGACGCATGCCGTGGCATTATCATAGATATTTTTGATGACAGTGGTGTAGCGGTGATCTATTCGGCACTCTTTTAAAGCTTCTAGCATTTTCTGGTGGTTTACTGTGTCGAATGCTTTCTCATAATCCACAAATATTAGGACGAGGGGTTTATTGTACTCTATACATTTTTCGATGAGGCTTTTAATAACTTGTAGATGGTCGTTTGTGCCGAAGCCTGACCTGAATCCTGCCTGTTCGCATGATTGGTAAAAGTCCATTTTGTTCGAAAGTCTGTTTGTTATGACTTTTGTAAAAAGCTTGTATATGTGTGAGATGAGGCTGATTGGTCTATAGTTTACGAGATTTGTTAAATCTCCTTTCTTAAACATTAGAATGATCACTGCATTTTGCCATTGTGATGGTGTTGTTCCTCTTTTAAGGCATTCTGTGAAAAGTATGGAAAGCATTTGTATCAGTTTCTCGCCTCCTAATTTTATGGCTTCGGCAACGACCCCGTCGTCGCCAGGTGACTTGTTATTTTTCATTTGTAGGAGAGCTTTTTTGATTTCATCAACAGTAACATCTGGTATGTCTTCCGAGCCCTGGTTTAGAACCTTTGGTATGTTGTCAGTTGGAACATTTTCTTCTGTTTTGCTGTAGAGTTCGCTGTAAAATTGTCCGACAGTTTGTAGAATTTCCTGTTTATCTGTTATTATTTCGCCCTTTGTGTTTTTCAGTTTGTAAATATTTTTCTTTCCTATTTGCTGTTTCCTTCTGAAGACTTTTAAACTTTTGTTCTCTTCTATGACTTTTGATATCTCTCTGGTGTTGTAGTCTCTTATATCTTTTCTGATGTTCTTAGTGATTTGTTTGTTTAGTTGTCTCATTTTTGTTAGATTGGTTCTGTATTTATCTGTTAGTTGTCTTCTTTCCTCTAATAGAGTTTTCGTGCTTAGACTTAGTTTTTCTTCGTCTTTTTGGTTTTTTGGGCAACATTTTTCTTGTGCTTGTTTCAGAGCTTTGATTATTTTCTGGTTTAGTTGTTCGATGTTTATGTTTTCTGTTTCTTCGTTTTGTAATTTTTCTTCGACCGTACGTTCAAACAGTTTTGCATTTTCAGGTGGTACCCATCTTCTAACATTTGGTTTCGGAACAAGCTTCATTCTTTCTTTTTTAACGTTAAGCATTACTTTTGTTCTTATCATCCTATGGTCGCTGCCAGCAGAGAACTTGTTGAGTACTTCCACGTCTTGTATTATATATTTTTTATCTGTAATTATAAAGTCGATTTCGTTTTTGACGGCGCCATCAGGGCTTATCCAAGTCCATTTATTTTGGGGTTTCTTTTTAAAGAAAGAGTTCATTTGAAACATGCATTGATGATGTAGAAAGTTTAAAAGCATGTCCCCTCTTGCGTTTCTTGCCCCGTATCCGTACTTTCCTAACGCGATCTCCGCTTGGTCTTGTTTGAATCCGAGTTTTGCGTTGAAGTCGCCCATGAGAACAGTATAGTGTGTTCGTGTTCTTTGTTGTGCCTCTGCTACATCCTCATAGAATTTTTCAACTTCTTCATCTGTGTGTCCAGTTGTCGGGGCGTAGACCTGTATAACTTTTAAACTATAACGAGAGTTTAGTTTTAATATCAATAGGATGACTCTCGTGCTTATGGTCTCAATTTTTGTTATGTTGGGTATGTGTTTTTTATGTACAATGATCCCGATTCCACCGCTGGATGAATGTTCCTCTCCTCTGTAGTGGAACAGGTGTCCTGATTTCAATGTTTGTTGTTCTTCTCCTCTCCTTCTAATTTCACTAAGTCCCATTACATCCCATTTTATTGTTTTTAATTCGTTTTCCAGTTCTATTAGTTTATGATCGGTTGAGAGGGTTCTTATATTATAGGATGCAAGATGCAGTATTCTTGTGCAGTTTAGCCGTCTTGAGTGGTAGCCTGGTCCATCCCGGGTATTCTTAGCACCCTCTGCTCTTAATCTTTTCTGTCCGCTACCTTGGTCAGAGATTTTTGAGCTGCCGGGAACTGAGGGCCGTGTTTGGTTTGTGTTTTGCATGTTTACGGGGGGTTTGGCCTTAAAACGCCACGCTGGCCAGACGTGTTGGCGAGTTGGGGGAGGATATAGGGAAGGAATTTGGGGTTTGGGTAGGATAATATTGGGGTTTGGGCCTGGTTTCCCCTAAGTAGGGAGTAGAGGAAAACCAGGAGCTCGCGTGGGCAGGGGCGCTACCTCCCTGAAGTAAGTCTACCCTCTATCGGGATCATAGAGGGGTACCTACCCGCTACCAACATAATGATAATGATAATGATTAAAAAATAAGAAGGTGCAGACTTAAAATTGTAAACCAAATGGTAGAAAAATAGTGAAATTTTTCTCTATTAATGACAATACTGAGAAAGAAATTAGAAACGCACATATATAAACTAGTAATAGTTCAGCCTATGGCGTATAGACAAGAAACTAGAACAACAGAAAAAACTTAAAACTAAAGAAATAAAAATCATAGGGTTAAACACAATCAAAATATTAATAGAGAGAATTAAAATATCAAATTATGATTGGATCAAAAATATGTCCAAGATCGAAAATAAAAATGATTAGATACAAGATAAAACAAAGTAACGAAAAAATTTATTAATAGAATGACAGAATACAAAATTTACAATATGCTGATCCCGAAACACTTATTACCAATCAAAACATTTAGCATATATCGGCATGGATAGACTTGAAATGATATATTGCAACAAAATAATAGTAAACGTAATTGTTGATTTTAAAACTGCTTTATAAAAATAAAAATACTTATGCTAAGATAGCAGCTGGTATAGCACAAAAATTCTTTTTAAAATTAGGAAAATAGTAATTACCTTTGTCAGATGTCCAAATCCCATGGGCCAATATGTCATATTGTAATATTCGTCACGCGGAAATGAAATAAGAGGCGCTCTGTCCCCATGCCTATAGATCTACAAGAAAAATAAATAACTTAATAATATAATATAGAAACATCTGGAATTTAATACGACTCTACAGAAACAGTCACGAGCAGTCTATAGAATGTTTAAAGCCTACTATTGCAACTTAAATGTAAAAAAAATGTAAAGAACTTAATTTGTAATATTTTAAATCCTTCTTAAATCGTTAGTCTATCGTATAGATGGTCGACCGACGTTTTTTTGTACTCCCTTGGTCTAAATTAGAACAGTCTTTTTGTTCATTACTCATCAGTTATTTATGCTATGTATCCAGCCCATCTTGAATATAGACCAGAATTGCTGTTTTAGCGCAATTTTTCGATTCTTCAGTACTTTGTATGTAAATAATATATTCATTATTCGAAACGATAAAGTCATTATTCTTCTAGATATTTGAAGTTAAATAAAGTGATGCGGCATGTTATTTTGATTATTGTATTAATTATGTCAGTATTTTTGGGTCATCGGATTGCATTTATGTTATTTATTAAAATTCCTTGAAATGAATAGATGCCTTTAACCTTTAAAATAAAATTTAATTTAAATTTAAATTTAAATTTAATTTAAAATTTATATTAAGTAATCTAAATAAAAGGACAATTTTAATAACACGAAAATATCAGAAAACACAATTTAACTAAGTATTTTATAACAAATGTTTAAAGTGAACCCCATTTACCTCAAAAAGATCATGAGTTCTTTCGGTAAACGATTTTTTTAACTTAAAAAAATATGTTTGGTTGATTGGTAATAAAATTAGCGAAATTTACTATTTGCTGCTATAGCCATTGACAATTATTTAATTTTTGTGACTATACCAAAAATTTTCTATACAACCAGAAATAAATCTAAGGGATTACATCGGGGGTTCTAGGCGGCCACGGAACTTTCCTACTTCTACCAATCCAAAGATATACAAATTGATCTAAATAGTTTCGTACCATTAAAGGATAATAATGTGGAGCTCCATATTCTTGTTGAAAACCATGAGCTGGCGTTGACAGATTTGCGATTCCTAAAGTAGATCTGTCCTCTGCCAGGAGTGCAAAGGAGTATCACGCCGCCATAGATTTTTTTAGAGGTATAAAAATGTAATTTGGTAACACTTTCAGAAGTGTTGGTCAATTTGACAGCTGTTAAGTAATTTATGTTAAGTTTGGTTTGGCATTTCAGCACGAATAGACTTAACACCTGAACAACGCTTCTAAATTGTACAAATTTATTTTGAAAATAGTGGTTCTGTTTGAAATACGTATCGCGCGCTACGTTCATTTTATGATCAACATAATAGTCCATCAGAGCAAGTCATTCGATTAACCATTGAACGTTTTTGCACCACGTTTACTCTAAATGATTGTGTCGTACAGTGCGTCGTACAGTGCGACAGAAGAAGCTAAAAGCTTTAGAGCCTAAAAGCTTTTAGTTTTTTAGCAATATTTTTTTTCTTTAGTATTTATGATTACATACATAATATAGAGTACATAGTACATAACATACATTAGATACATACCATACCATAAAACAATGTACAGAACTGATAAAATATGACCAAAGAATACCTGAATGAATGATTGTATTTTCTGACGCTTTCAATTGGATAGTTATGTATGTATATATTTTAAATGTGAGCTAATTTTGTTACAAAACATACATTTGGTTTGGAATATATCTAGTGATACTCCTTTTTTCTTAGTAACTTATACAGGTTAATAAGCCCCTGTAGCTCCTCCGGCTATCAGCACCGTATAGTTTTCAGTTTTGATTTTTTTATCAATACCGATCGTCTTTGACCATATATATTTCCCGCTTAATTATTGACAATTTTAACAAAATCCATTTAAGTGACCTTTACACAACGTAAAATAAATTGCTAAGATCACAGTAATACTGCTACAACATAATAATACAAAATACCTACAAATATATTTCGACAGACGTCTCACATGAGGAAAATACATATTAGGTTATCAAAATAAACTAGGCCATATATTCAGACAGCTTTACTGACATATCGAAACGAGTAAATCTAAAATCAACTTAAAAAATAAACTGTTAGTGTACAAGGTAATATTAAAATTCGTATTTACTTATGAGATCCGGTTGTAAACAACGACATCCGTATAGAATATAGAGAACTTAAATTTAAAGTCTCCAATATAGAGACTCCATTCCAAGGTATTGCGACCAATGGTAAAGTTCCATGGTTTGTTCCAAACTTCTTCACTGCATGGTATCTCCGTATATACACCATTAAATCAGAAAGACTAGAAAATATACTAAACGTTTAAAGTTATGTATTTCTTCACCACGTAATCCCTAGGTTTGTAAATCGATCACCGAAAAGGGTATGTAATACTAGATTATTTTGGTTTGATGATATTGCTGCTGCGTAAATTATGCTTAGATATTGTTTTCTGAAAGAAAGAGGAAGTTCTCCAGTTTCCCAAGAGAGGCTTTAAGTGGGACTTAAGTAGTGAGCACCTAAAGAAATGCTTGGACATATATGTTAAAAAATATCCAGTTATTTTTTGTACTTAAGTTTTGATCGAATTATAGATTTGTAAATAAATATTAAACATGAATACTCTGCATCCCAGTTTTTTAAGGCAAGTAATCGTAGTCAATTATTTATATCAGTTAAAGAGGATTTTTTCAGATGTTGAATGTATGTGTCCTCCTGTAAGTAAATTTTTTATTTAAATTCATACCAAACAATCGGATTTCTTCTACACAATCAAGTTTTTGTTGATTTAGATATAATTATTTTGTTTGGATTTTATTGTGTCTATTGTACACAACAATTAATGTCCTATCTATTTAATAGTCTAATGAACTTTTATTTTTTGACGATTGGGGATATCTCTGATTTTCTTAGGTTGCTTAGACTCATGACTATAGCATGAAGTGATACTTTGGAGTTTCTCTTCATGCTATAGTCGGTACGGTAGAGGATTTAAGAAGACTCAATAAAAACTTAATAAGAGCGGCGCAAGATAGACGCGGTTGGAAACATGAGGAAGAGGCCTATGTATAGCAGTGGACTCTTGAGGCTGGATGATGAATGATAGTCGGTAATTTTATTTGAGTAAGTATGACAGTAGGAAAGTAAAAAGTATAATCAATGTGATGTGTTTGTTGAAATTTGTTTATAAATCGATCAGCGAAAACGTTATATAATACTGGATTATTTTGGTTTAATGACACTACTGCTGCGTAAGTTAGGCTTAGATATTGTCTTCTGAAAGACAGAAAATTCTCCAGTTTATCAGAAAATGGTTAACCGGCTAAATATTACAGTAAATAAACAACAACAGTTTAAATATTTTGCGTTTTTGTACATAAGTTCCGTGGAAAACTGTTTTAATTCTAATGTAAAAGAGTTACAACAGTTTTGCACGGAACATTGCAATGGTTTCGATAACAAGCAATGAAAGGCACGAAAAAAGTAAGACATTTGATATTTTAGTATCTATATATGTGGTATTTAATTTTAATATATAGTGTGTCTACGTAATCCATTAACGACCGAGACAATAAACAAAGATTTACGAGAACAATCTATTCATGTAAATTTTATGTCCTCTGTGAGACATTATATTTTCCATAAAATGTGTGCAATGTCGTTTGACCATTTATTTATTAGATTGGATTAAAAACACATAAATTAAGATTAATTATTTACAGCCAAAAAGTATTTTTTCTTATCAAAGGAAAAACAGTTATCTTAAATCTTGTCTATTAACAATACTGACAGGTTAAAAATATCTGTTCTCAGAAAATTTGTTCTATAAAAACTAAATCCCAAATTGTATTAAATCTTCATGTGACCTTCCGGGGCGATTGTCTTTGCCCCCCGTAATTCCCAACTTTTACTAAGGTAGTAAATTTCAATTATTTTGTTAATCACTGTACTCAAGGTAGCCTGATTTGCATATTTTTATTATAGTCCTTTTATTTTGAATTTAAATAAAAGTATTGAAAGTTTTACAATCAATATTTCTACCTTGTTGTGACATTGTCATTATAAAGCGAAGGAATTGTGGCTATCAGAAATATTTGCAGAGATAGAAAGATTAAATTGCCGCTAGCGAAAAGCCGTTTGATTAGGTACCTATATATTCTGGGTAGCTCTCTGATTTATTGGAATCTATTAAATGTAAAATTTAATACCATACTAAACCTCAAGCTACAAATATAACAGTTTTTAATAAAAGGCCACACACAAAACGCTGGTGACAACATGCACTCATTAATAGAGCGGCAAAAGAAAAAAATGCTGAAGAGCGGTCCAATTTATGTTCCTACTGAATGGGCAACTGCAGTGAAATTTAGCAAAAAAGTGGTTCATCCTACATAAATGGAAACAAGAGACTTATTGATTTCCTCTTTCAGGAACCTTTCTGTTGGGAAACAACTATAAAATTGGTCAAAATAAAGAAAATTTTTAGTGAACAACTAGACAGATATAAAAATTCTGCAACTAATACAACTATGATGACGAACTATAAAATTCTTTTAATCAAATCATCACGGACTACATATCATATACAAGAAGTGCTATTTAAACATGCCTACAAAGAACAGATAAAAACTCAAATGGACAAAAAGAAAGATTTGGTATACTTAAGCCATTCGGGTATGATACCAGAAGCCCACCATAGTTTTTATAAAAATATTTTGGCCCAAGACGGTATATGAGAAGAGAACAACAACTAACAGAAAATGTGAAAAATTTACAATTTTTGTAAAAGTGTAACTTTAAAATTCTAATACTAAATGTGTAGTGATTAACAATTTTTTCCTTTGTTGCAAAGTTGCAACTTTAAAATTCCGAATTGTTTTAGCATTAATATTATTTAATTTAAATTTCTATTTTTGGTTCAACCACCAGGGGTTATTGGCATGGTACAATAAATTACATAAATGTTAATATGTTACCCTATATTTTGAGAAGTTGTCCTGTATTTTGTAAAAAGTTTATAGTGTTAACG